CCTAATTTAGCAGTGTAAGACTAGAGGTGAAGGCAGCTAGTCATCACCACCCACCGCCAACTCTTGGGCTACTCTTTTACCAACGAATAGTTGGATTGACCGTCACATTATAACGCCCCCACGGCTGAAAGGGCGAGCATGTTTGGTGGGATGGGGATGCGAACCCGCGACCCGCAGATTGCGAGTCGAGTGCCGGCCCGGCATGGCCAGGTGGTTAATCTAGCTTCATAGAGGCAGACAGAGAGGAGAAGAATTTCCCATAAATTTATGTTAATCTGTCTTCATATCTTCCAATTTAATGGTGTTACTGAATTCAGTAAGCCTATTACATGATCTTTTGTAATTTTTGATAATACAACTGAAAGTTAAAAGCTTCAGAATGTACATGTGTTTGGAGTACTTTCAAGCTTTGAAATATAGTCGTACAAGCAAAAGTACCCGTCTCCAGTGACGGGAAGTTTAAGTTAATCTATCAATTTTATATTATTTCGTGGACTTTAAAAAAGTTAATTGTGTTGTACTCTTGGTTTCACTCAGAGTCAAAGCTTTGAACTATTTATACCGCCCACCGCGAAAATTAATTGTTGAGCATTTCAGTCATGCTAACAGCTTCTCAACAATAACATACGGTAAATCTAAATTTGTACTATTTAATTTATATCACATTTTGAAATGTGAATGATAGTGTGATTAACTCCTAACAATTTAGTGTAGAATATCCTGCTTGCGAAATAAAATTTAGCATCAAGATTATTTATGCCTATTCTCCCGTCATTTCAAAAGTGAATGCTGAGCTTTGTCTGCGTGCGCAGCTTTTCAAGCGGGAGACAGACACCACGGTTCGCAATGTATATCAGATAAACCATTTTTAAGCTTCGGGATGTAATAAACATGTGTATTGTTTCTATGCTTCAGCATGTAACCATGTGGAGTGTTTCTAAGCTTCAGCATGTAACCATGTGGAGTGTTTCTAAGCTTCAGCATGTAACCATGAGGAGTGTTTCTATGCTTCGGCATGTAATGATTGACCAAAAAAGACGCTACTATTTAATAGATATTACGTTAAATACGTTAAAAATATCAGCAAAATGTATTCTAGCTTGTTTTAAAAAAGGCGGCTCTGTGAATTAATCGTATATTTTCGCTGACATATGCTTAATAAATTATTTGTCAAATCGGCACTGCTACAATAAGAAATAAAGTATTACAAATTCGTACATGACATATATATATATGATGAGGGTTCCATTGATCACAGTAACAGCGATGTTTTGTTTTATTTTTTTACCGTTGAAGCCTGAACTTAAATACGAAGAGAAAGTCCAGAGAAATGTATATTACTTATTACATTCTCTATATCACAGACTGAATGGTTACGTAAATTATTTAGTACGTAGACTGACACAGAGAACTGTATTACTAACATAAAATATCTTGACGTGGAAGAAAAAAATCAACACATATTTTGTATTTACCACGACACGGTCATGTTAATATACATTACATGACAGCAGACTTTTACATGGTTCGATGCTTTATTAACTTTTTTAACAAGTTTATATATATCCTTTTACTTTAGATAAGTAAGATTTCTTATAATAAGAAAATTGTTTTGATGTCTTAACATACATAAGGTATTACGGTGGTGAGTGTCACATTTCTTCGCGTTGAATTACTCATCGCAATGTAACGAATTTAAATCGGTTGAAATAAAGTCAATAACGCTTTGTGTTGTTAACAAACTTTAACTGGTTAAAACTAAAACAAGTTATTAAATATATTTTATTTCTAATACAATTCATCCATTTTCAACCTTTCTAAATAATTAGAAGAAACCTGTATTAACACCAAGAAACCTGTATTAACACCAAGAACCCTGACAAACACACCATTTTCAATAATTGCAGAATTATATTTCATATATGAGGAAATAAAATATATTTAAAAGCCGTAAATATTTTCAGGGCAACAATGAATTAACGGAAAGACTCTTGAAGACTCTGAATTCCAGTGGTAAACTACACTGCGTCCCTGCCTCCTTAAAAGGAAAATATGTTATCAGGTTCACGGTCACTTCTTCCCGAACTACGTCTGATGACATCAGACATGACTGGAATATCATACAAAATACGGCTTCACAGGTTCTAGAAATCTACGGTGTTCCACCTGATACTGCCAGAAGGGCTCGGCCAATTGGAGAAATAAAAAAGCAGACTCCAGACTTTGGCACGAGCTTGTTACTTGCCAATAGCCCTTTGACACCAAAGATTATGAATGGTAGTTTTGTTGCCATATTTGATAACAAAGATGTGATCCAAGAATTTGTCCGAAGGTTTGGGAATAATGTTCGTGTAGTAGCAAAAGACAGCCCAGCTCTTAGACGTCGTATTCGTGGATTAATGGTCAGCGAGAAAAAGTACAGTCTTGATTCGACCATGGACCTGATGAACACCATCATGGCAACGACCGTTGGTCTCCCAGAAGATGAAAATAAAGAAGAGCTTCAGAAGTTTACTACTGGTTCTAATACCTTAGTGCCTTGTAAACAGGTTTGTTACAATGGAAAAGTTAAACAAGATATCGCTGTTAGGAGTTCTAAAAAAGAACCAGAGAGCAATGTTGAAGACACTATAACAGAAGCTGATGAGGAAATTTCACCAGAAGCAGAAGAAAATCACTGCAAGGTAAAAATGTGCCGAAAATGTGGCCATATTTTACCCAAAAAGGCTTAAGCATACCCTCAACACTATGTTGTCACTTAATGCCACTATCGATTGTAAATGTTCTATTTTCTTCCGAATATTGCAGTTGTTCGTAACCTTATGTCCTTTGCAACTTCAAATTTAGATCTGAGCTACCAGTTTTCTGTATTCCTGTTGTCAAGACTTACTGTATGAAAATTAATGACATGGCAAAATGCAAACCAAGTCTAAGAGGTTTGTGAAAGTGGTCCCTATAGTATTAGCGTAATATTCAACTCATGTCAGAAATAGCAAGATTTTGTGTTATTTTAATTACGTTCAATTTCTATATTCGGTCTAAATATGAAGTATTACAAAAGCTTCAGAGTAACTGAGTGATTTTGTTTCTGCATGAAGAATGTATATGTAAAATTATTTTTTCTTTGAAACTAAATGATATACAGTGAGTGTTCGATGTGTGTAGTTGATTATTTACTGTTCCATGAATAAAGCGTCTTCTCGAACCATTTAAGGAAACCACCGTTATATGTTTGGTCTTTCACAGTGTAATTCAAACGAGACAGAAAATATTTTCATGAAATCACATTCACTGTTACATAATTTTCATATAATCCTGTAACGAACAGCAACTATAACACATACTCTCATATATATATATATACATATATATATATATATGTATGTATGTGTGTGTCTGTGTGTGTGTGTGCGCGCGCGCGTGTATCTGTGTGTTTAAACACATAAGTTAAGATACATTATTAAAAGTATAACTCGACCATTTCTATGATGTCATAGAAAAATACTCCAAGGTATAAATACACTTATTGTTGGTTAAAAACACAGAATACAAACAGTAATATCACGAACGAAATATCGTATGATAGGCGACTGGTCATTTACAGTGCCGTTGTACATAGTGATTAACTTAACTGTTACATAGTGAATAACTTAACAACAACTTAACTGTTACATAGTGAATAACCTAACTGTTAAAAACATTTTCTGTAAAGCCCTGACATTAGAATGTCTAGAGAATGACAAACGGTCTGTGTAGTTACAGGACAGGTACAAGTGCGCCCCAATTGTACCAACAGTTATCTTCATAGCATGGGCTATAATAGCAGCTTCAAGGAAGCTTCTCATCACGCCAGGAAAAATCGTACATCAACAGCAACAGGTATCATATCCCCCTGCGTTCTGAAATACAGTATTTATTTATTTTTACAACGAGACCAGATTTAAACAATTATCGCACCTGGTTCTGGTAATTACTCTCTCAGCAACTTTCGTTGAACCATCTAAAATCTACCACAAAATGTAGCGTTACTTCTGGTGGTTTGTTCCATGATGGTTTCAACATTTATAACTGTTCTGATATTTTAAACAATATGATGATTTATTCATGAGTTCACCTATTATATGGGTATCTCTTCATTTGTGATGTCGAGCGAGAGTAGCAGTAAATTCAGTGATATAGTCATGGAATTCATTATTATCAAATATGACAAGCTCACCAAACAAAACATTGTTTTCATTCCATATGAGACTCGTGCTTATTCGCCCTCAGTCACAGAACAATGACTTGAAAGTGAGGACATTACCACTCTCCCATAGCCAGGAGATCAAGTATGTGTATTTGACGATTAAAGCCTGCCAGAAAAAAAAACACAACACTGATATGCAGAGTGACTAGCATCTTTCCGCAATCTTATGGATATTGGGATAGTCAGAAGCCTTCAAAGATAATGAGGTAGATCTAAATTGCCCTGAAACTATGAGAGATAACTGAGGTAAATGCAAGGCTCAATGGTGACACAAATCACCATATCACTGAATCTGCTGCTGCTCTTGCCAAAGGAGCACCACAGATCACCAGTATGCACATGTCTCCAGTCATTTGGAAAATGAAGAGGGTCTCATTTGATGGGTGAGATGGGGAAATCATGGATAAACCACCACGTTGTTCAAAGTATCTAAACAATTATAAATGTTGAAACCATCATGGAACTCATTGCAGTGTGCATAAAATCACTCATTCTAGTATCCATCTACATGAAAGCTTAGGGGGAAAAACTCTTACCTCCTCAGACATCTCTCCATCTCTTTAAAAAAGGTACATTGATCATACTTTTATCATCTGGTCACATGGTGGACATCCAATACATGACCTCATCTCACACTTGAACTCCTTTAGCAACAGCATTGCGTTCATGATGGAACGAGAGAGAAATAAATGCCTCCATTTCCTAACCATCTTCATTCATAACCGCAACGAAAAACTATACACAATATTCTACAGAAGCGCTATCCAGACAGAAAAGTATCTTCATTTCCTTTCCTGCACTTTACCATCCACAAAATAAGGAATCATAAAATCACTTTGCAAAAAGCACAGGATATCTGCAATAGGGAATAACTAGCACCAGAACAAGAACTTCTTATCTGAACCATTCAAATAAACGACTACCTCAATAGTTTTATCTTCAACTCGATCAACTAACTACAGAAACAGTCAGACCCATTACCATCATCTACTTTCCTTTTATACAAAACCTCGATGAGAAATTTAAACATGCAGCAAATAAATTTAACATTGAAATCGTTAGAAATATCTCTCAGATTATTAGTATATATCAAATTCGCCCTGCAGAACATACTATATATGAAATACAGGGTTTATGTATAAAAACAAACAGACACTTTAGAGTGAGACTTAAATAACACACAAATAATACCTGACTAGTGAAGACAAAACTCCGCCATTGTAGAACATGCACGCTCACAAGTTTATTGACAAAGAAAAAGTGAAAAGCATTGAATAATAAAGAAGCCTTCTATGTAAACAAAAGAAATCCAAACATCAGAAGAGACACAGATTTAAAGTTAGCAGCGTTTGGTATGTCATTCTTAACTAACAGCTTTGGTACTCAGTCTTATCCTGGGGAATTATATATTTAAAAAGCAAACTTTCAGGTAAAAGCAGTGCTCTACATCACAACCGCACTCTGTGAATCCCTTGACTATGACAACACACTCATCAAAATATCACCAATGTCCATATTTTTGTGGCATATTTGCTAACAAGCAGAATTTGAAATGGGTTGCAAAAGTTAACAAAAAACTCATTGCCTGCTAACCCTCTGGATGAGACTGCCTGCTAACTGGAGGTTCAGAGAATATCAAGTTATGGACTGTATATTGTGTTTTTTTCCAAACTGTAAATGAATTTGTAACAAAGAAAGAGACAGTACACAAATACACAGTCAACAGTTTTTGGTTAACAACAAATAAAGTCCAAATAAACACAATATCAAACAAAAGGGTAAATGTTTATTGTGGCTGTGTTAAACTGACAAGAAAAGACTCAAGAAATCTTTAATGGTTTCTCACGCCAATCAAGTATGCTCCCCCTTTATTACCTGCACTAAATGTAAATACAAAGTGTAAAACCTAAAATATAAAATGCGCTCCAAAATTAAGTTTAAAAATAAAATTTAATCCAAATGTTTAAACTATATTTCAGCAAAAAGCTAACTTTAACTTTTTAGAAAGTTAAAGTCTGGAACAACGTACAGTTAAGCTGAAAGTGTATGCTAAAAGTTAAATGTCCAAAAGTGTTACTCTTACGAGAGCAAACCTGAATCTAAATACAAAAACACAATAACAGCAATACAAACTATGATTGCACATGACTCCACCTTTCACACTTTACCTTTGTCCATTGATATCCGGGTTCAAGAGCATGGTAGCCCCTAGCGTTATATGATTTGCCAACAGAAAAGACAATTGTCTATCTCACAAAGTAACGAACTATTTTTTTTTAAAAAACATGGCTAATTGCCAGTTAGTAAATTCACGTCCATTATGTATTGTAGAAATGGAAAGTTGAGTTGCTTAAGTAAGCAACCCACTGCATTTAAGCTAAACTGAAAGAAAATACAGAAACTTTGAAAATTTTACTTACTTACTAAGGGGAAGCTAGGGCATGGTACAGTTCTTTACTGCACATGAATGGGCATTTAGGGCTGCAATGGGCTATAAAACACCATCTTAACTCAATCCAGTGCAAACCATAATACACAAAGTGAAGGCTGTGGTTATGAAAGAAAACTTCTGACTGAAGCTAATGAGGTAAAACTGGTCATATCTTCTAATGCTGCTAATAATATAACAAACTAGGATTTTAATTTGTTACAGGCTTCCGTGACACAACTTTCCAAGCTTCCGACAACACAGTAAAATCAATAGAAGGATAATAACAACACTATTCAACTATATACCTGTTAAATCTTCTTACTCAATGTCATGATATGTTTCGTTCAGATAGTATTGAATAATTTAGTTTTGTGAGTGAATGTTTTATTATTGTTTAATTTTTGTTATAATAAGAGTTAAAAGCAGATGGTTGCAGGAAGTTTTGTTAATAATTCATTGATGTTGAGAATATCGAACGTCACGTGCAATATGGTGACGTCGAGAATATAGAATGTGGACAGACGATTAGGTAATATAGATATAAATAGCGTGAGACGAGTGGGAAGCAGCAGACAAACAGAAGCAGACAGATAATAGCAAAAGAGAATAAAGTTGGTGGGAAATTAATTACCGTAGAAGTGATAAGCCTATTGTTTAATATGTTAGAGTGAAACTAACAGTAGAAAAGAAGATAAGAAAAATAATTTTATTCAGGCAAAGCGTGGTTCTAAAGTAATTGAATCATCCTGAGTGCACTTTGATAGAAGGAACAGAGGATCTTCAAAAGAAAGAAGACCAAACGATTACGGTAATTCGCGCCACAGTTATTAGTGAATCCCAGAGAATACTAGTGCGATAGAAATAGAAAAGATAGTTCGGCTTGTCAACTGAAATTCTAAAATAATTGAATAGGCCTAAGTAGATATTTGACAAAAAGGAGAGAACTAAATATATAGTATTTATGATATGCCCATAATATCTATAGGATTTGTTGTACATACGTTAACTTGTTCTGAATATATATATAATATTTTGAAAACAGGTGAAGTGCGTGCTGTTTATTTATCATTGAATTTGTCGCTAACAAGTCACAGACACCTACTGTAGAAGAATCCTAAGCCCAACAACAACATATTATATATTTATGATTTAAGACATATAACTAAAAGCTTTTTATTTTGACAAATGGCGAAGATAAGTATTTTTAATTCTGACACTCAGCTTTAATGGACTTTTGTGTCTCTGGGATTCAAGCAATATCACAGAGGTTGGGAATGTTATGTTAAAATGCTTTTAGAAACTCACTACTTTGTTACAGTTCATGTTTCCATGTTTTATGACTGTGCAACTTGGTAATAACTCTGCAGTGTACTTTCTATTGCAAAAAGTTCCATTATGATATGTGCTGTAAAATGACTACACATTTTAGGTTAGTTATTTTGAACCATGTGTTTTCGTTATTATGATATATATTCAAGTGCATTGTAATGGGTTGAGTGTGAAAAACTAGGCTAGCCTAC